GAGCTGTTGAGGAAAGAGGAGTTGCTGGAGACGAGGCTGCTGGTGGGACAGACTGCAGAGCATGGAAACCATATCTCTGGCCTATATAGGATGTGCACTTCAGGACTGGATTCAGTTCTCCTTGACCAGAAGGCAGATGAGATGACACAAGTTCCTAAGGGCTGAGAGGAGATTTGAAGGTTTACATATGCAAAGAGAAACCAGCGATCCTCCAACTGTACCATCAACCACAGCATATAGAAGATAGGGTGAAGTGGGGCAGCAGGTGAACTGCTGTTGGGGATGGGGTACTCTTTCCAGTGGGAGACTCAGCACAAGGCAAGGTGTTGGTCAGGGCTTCTTTATCAGGTCCCAGTCCCACTAGGGAAGCACGTCTGTTTGATCAGGACTCCAGGGAGAGCACTGCAGGTGTATTTCTTGGGAAAAACAAGTCCAGCCAATAGGCAGAATCCAATCTTAGGCTGCTGAATGGACTGATTTCCAAGAAATGCCTGAGGGAGGAAGCCAGGTGGGTCATTTCCTGTGCAAAGGGTGGTAAGTCCTTCTAACCAGTCCAAGTTCCGTATCTGTCATCCTGATACAAAAAGGTAGAGTGCGTCGGTGAAAGCCCAAATCAGGCTAATACAGGGCCGTCTTCAGGGCCAGGCTTCAGCTTTAATGAAAGAAGAGAAGCAGCTTTGGACTCCAGAGGCATTGCCAAAACTAGCCTGTGTTTTAATTTATAAGATGTAAAAAGAAATAGTAAATGGGTAACAGCTTATCACCATGCATAACAGCTTGATGCTGCCCACCGATCTATTTGAAATGTCCCTGTTATACATGAGCATAAAGATCTTACATTTTTCAGGCATACTAATAGGGCAGTTGCTCTGCACAGAATGACATGCAGATTTTCAGCACAATTTGAAATTGTGTCATTGGACTGAAAAGCTATTGAGGGCCTTCCCCCCCCCACCCCGAGACAAAAAGATCTGTTCCCAAAGCCAGGTGAATGTGCTAGCTGTTGGCAGCTCTGTAGCCCACATAGTTAAATGTGTGCTTGTTTACTCATGTAGCCTAAATATCCTCTGATGCTGTCAAATGCCACTTGAAAACACAGATGTTTGGAGCCCTTCTGTTCATGATTAGGACTTTTCAAGGGTAATATGTGATGCATTATTGACTGGTTGAGTTTATGGAGAGGCTTTCGTTTTCCAGCCCTCTTAATAGAAGGGTGACCTAAATGGTTTTTTTAAAATCCATTTTGCAGAGTGGTGCTGCTGTGGTTTTCATTTACAGCCAATTGTTAATTATGCCAAACTTTGATGGGCATTTCCTATTTATTCAGTCCTTTTTTCCTTGTTTGGTCAAGAGTGTGCATGTGTGTGCAAGCTGCTGCTTTTCTGTTAGTATTATTTTGCCTGCTCCTGGCACCTTACTGGCAGTCTCTCCACCACAGACTGCTGCTTGAGAAACACTGCCTCCACCAACTGTCTTGTCCTCCCATTGCTTTTAACAGTTGGACACCCCAGAATCTAATAATGATACTTTATATGTCAGCTTTCATGACTTGCTTGCTGATCATTTTAGTGAAAGCAGAAGCCTGTAGAAGACAGAATTAGGAGTTGCTGGAGGGACGTGGGAGCAGAAGGGAGGGACGAATAGCACAGCAGGGGAACACAGGAGTGCTACAAGGGTTATTGTATTGTCATACAAGGGTTATGCCCCAGGGACAATGTGGGATGGTACTGGAGAGTGATCAGGAAATTTATCTAGCCCAGAGGCATCCCTTGAGTTCACTGTGGCCTGGGCATAAAAGAGAGTTGCTGAATGGTTCTGGTAAGGAAGGAGTAAATATGTAAATACATAAATACTGAAATAAATATATAAGTACTGAAGAAGATTGGGAAACATTAAAAAATCCTGAGGAATTGCTTGCAAACAGCTCTTTTACGTCCAGGTTAAAGACTGCTAACAAAAGAACTCCTTCGGCACATTTTTTTGCCTTCATTGATATGTATCTGTGAATCTCTCCTTTCTAGAAAGGCTTGTACGAATCAAATGATCAAGTGATCACTGCTGAGGCATATATTTTGGAAGTGTGATGGACTAGTGCTTTCCACTGATGCTTCCCACTGCTGTTGATCCTGATGTCTTCTGTGTCAATGCTATGTCTGAATACTAACTCTTTTCTTTTGTCACATGTGTCTTCTTGCAGGCATATATGCTGAAGTCATTTGAAATGAATGGACTGCCCAAGGCGGTGCCTTTAAGTTTGCCTTATCAAGACTTCAGAAAAGAACTGTCAGACTACTGGGAAAAGCCTAAGATATCCCAGAGGATAAAGAAAGTTGATTTCTCAAATGTTGTCTTGACTGCTCCTTGCAAACCTCTGGAACCTTATCTAGAAATAAATGGAAAAGAGGAGGAGGAGGAAGAAGATGAGGAAGAAGACGAGGAGGAGGAAGATGAGGAGGAGGAGGAGGAGGCAGAGGAGGAAGGGGATGAGATTGACATGCACAGTGGTTCCAGCAGTGACCTGAGTCAAAAAAGCACAGAGCGCAGCCAGGAGTGCGCACCATCCACACTCCTGGCTGATGACCAGAAGGGATCCAAGGGTCGAGCATCCACTGCTGATGGGGACCTGGAGCTGGAGGAAGGCTCAAAAACACTAGTGCTGTTTTCACCAGGTGATCTGAAAAAGTCTCCGGTGACCACAGACTTGGCTCCAGAAGTTGATCTGGGTACTCTTGCTGCACTGACACCTCAGAGCGAGCGGCCACAGCCTATGGGTAGCCAACTGGATGTATCTGAACCAGGGACCCTGTCCTCAGTCCTTAAATCTGAACCAAAGCCTCCCATGGCAGTGGCTACAGCTTCCTCCCCCTTTACCAAAGTTGAGCGCACATTTGTTCATATTGCTGAAAAGACCCACTTAAATGTCATGTCTTCCAGCGGCCAGCTCATGAGGCATGAGGAATACTGCCCTCCGGGCCAGTTTGAGGAGGTCATTATCGAAGAAGAGCTGGAGGACAACCTGGTGCTGGTAGAGAATGGAAGCATACATTCAGGGCTAGAAGGGGCAGAGACGGAGAGCTGCGCACTTTCGGCTAATCCCATTGAAACCACCTCAGAGACAGTGGGGGAGCAGCTGGCTCTTCCCAACGGTGTAGCAAAGCCTCCCGAGGACAAGCCGGCGCCCTCCGACAAAGTGCCGCTCTCGCTGGATTTGGAAGAGCCTGGCAAGATGGTTACAAGGGAGCCTGACCTTGAGAAGTCAGCATTGGTGGCAGAACACCTTAAGCGAGCAGAGACCCTCCTCAACACACCGCAGCAGGGACCCAGGAGACCTCTGGGCTCCAGGTATAGAAGTCGGATACCCATTTTGTTCTCCGAGGAGGACACTGGCTCAGACCTTTCAACTTCACTCTCAGCCAAAGACAGGCTTTATAAGAGGGCAAAGCAACCTGACTTGGCTCGCCTAGTAATGGAGAAGAGGCAAAACCGCCTCCTTCGGCTGGCCTCAGGGGCCTCCTCCTCAGCATCCTCCAGTGACGAGAGGCGGCGGGCCTCAGAAACCCTGTCAGCCACCGGTTCTGAGGAGGACACCCACGACTCTGATGACTCCATCCCAAGGAAGGCAGGGAAGAAGGCTGCCATCCTGGGGAAAGAAGAGAGACCCATAAGCACAAAGAGCAGAATTCCTCGGCCCATCACTCCAGTGAAAACACCACTAGAGGCGGCAAAGTCTGAGAGCTCCATGGCCGTCGCGACGGCAGTGCTATGTAGCTCCCCGCAGGATGCAGCTGTTGCCTACAGGTAAGACCAAAACGGGGAGCAATGCAAAATGTTGGCCTCATTAAGGAGACACAGCCAGGGCTTTGCTCACCTCCCACTGTTTTACCTTTCACTTGGCTTGAATGCATGATCCGTCCCTGTTTCCTACAGTCATTTCAGTTCACCAGTGTGTGAAATTCCTACCCCTCTGTCCTCTTTGGCTCAGTCTGGCCAAAGGGCCAAGCCCCTCTTCACTTGCCCTGGTTTTGAGGCCTTCTTCCCTTCCACGAGCTCTTTCATTTCGTCTGATCCTGCAAATGCAGGTCCCTCCAGTGTTGAACTCTCAGTTTTGCAGCGTGCTCAGCACAGCTGTGACTCTGCAGGGAGACCAGGCCTGGCTATTGCGATTAGAGCTGCAAGGGTGTCAGGAATCTCGGTTTGTGAATCCTGCTGATTATGTCAAAATTGACCAAAACAGTGACTTAGTTACAGATTCAAAGATGGCAAGGTTCACTCTATTACTACATGGAAGCACATAAAGGAAAATTAAATCACACTGAGTTGGAATGATTCATAAAGGGATTGTGTATATAGGGGATAAGGAGGACCCTCCCGTTGAGTCACGAGGTTTAGAATAGACCCCCTTGCTTTCTAAACTCCTTCTCAGAGAGGAGCCTAGGTGCAGCTAGGTCTAATCTTAATCTCAGACTTGGTCAATGGTTTATATGAATAAGGTTTTTATATATATGTATATATGTATATCTAGTACATAGAAGAAGTGTATAAAGGAAATTGGGTTACATGAGAGAGAGAGAGGGAGAAATTGTATGTAGGGGATACGGAAACCCTCCCGTTGAGTCATGAGGTTCAGAATAGACCCCCTTGCTTTCTAAACTCCTTCTCAGAGAGGAGTCTAGGTGTGGTTGGGCCCACTCTTAGTCTCAGACTTGGTCAATGGTTTATGAGAGTAATGCTATAAGAATAATGCAGCAGTATAAAACTCCCTTTGAAATTACATCATACATCTACAAACTACTTAAATTGATTCACACATGCATACTCACAAATATGAATGCATATATGAAAATGGTATACCTGTTAAAAATTCCCCTCGAGTTTAATGAAATACTCACGTCTAATGCCTTGGCATTTCTCAACAGGCGAGAGTAGAGCCTCGAGGAGTGAAGCATTTCAGCCCAGGCTCCGTTGTCGATCTTCGGCAATGGAGTTCTGGTGGCAGCAGACTTTCAGAGTCTGCTAGTTTCGCTGACTCTTGAGAGGTGTTTCAATCAGAGGGAGATGCTGGTGCAGCCCGCGGCAGTCCAGGAGAGCTCAAAGGGCCTCACTTAGGACTGCTGTTTATAGGATTGTGAGATGATTGACTTTAATCCCCAGTAAATTTCCATCTGAGCCACAATTTGGGTCGGCTTGTTGTTGGAATTCCAGCAACAATGATACCACTCTGTTTCAAGGCTGTCTCGGGTAGCTGTTTGTTCTCGTTCCCCTCGTTAGCCATAATATGAAGATCTTGATAAGGACAGGGCTGCTCTCTGCTTCAGCCATGTAGGAGTTTCTGGTACAATTAAGGGGCGCTTAACTAACCAACTCGCTACACAAAAGCTGCAGCCTGGAATTCCTGAGATGCGGCCGAAGAGGAGAGAAAAAAACCCAGAAAAACAGAGGGGGGGTGGGCTGCAACGTTGCCAGTTGTGATTGCCTCAGATGGCCAGCATGCAAAGAGCTGGAGAGAGGGAGGTGTACATGCATGGGCTTTGGCAGTGAGCTAGAACAGCATGGGCCCCCAC